TGACGTAACCCTGAGACCGACACCACCCACGCCGTGCCGGCCCCGTCCCCGAACGTCTAGACCCTCCGACTCGCCCCGCGCCAGCCCCGCCCCCGCTGACGCAACCCTTCGACTCGACCCGACCCGGCCCGGCCCCGCCCCCGCCGCACCTGTCCCGGGGCCGCGGGCAGGTGCGCGTGGGGGAGCCCAGGCAGCCCGAGTCCTCCGAGCCCCCAATCCCTCGCCGCCCTGTGTGTGGGCCCCGGGCGGGGCGCGCACCTCCTGACACAGGCACCTGCCCCTCCGGCCTCGAGGCAGCGTGCCCAAAGCCCAGGTGCACGCGGGGGCTTCGCTCTGCAGGGCCGCTTTGGTTCAGGGAAAGGGTCTTCGCTCGGGGCGGAGCAGCTCAGGTGTAAACGCGCACACCAGGGAGCGCGCCCACCAGGGAGCACGCTGTGGCCCGGGGCCAGGCCGGGGTCAGAATGAACACGCCCTGGCCCTGCCCCTGCCCTCGAGGTCACTGCGAGCCCGCAGCCCCACAGCCAGGCCCTCCGGCCCCTCCATAGTCCGTCTGGTGTCGGGGTGAAGGCTCTCCCGCCCTTTACTCCCAGCCACTCCCGGCAATGAGCTCCGCAGACGACTATTTCAGATGGTTTAATCTGAAACCTGCTCACATGAAGTGTAAGGCAAAGGAAACGAAATCTATCAAAAGACCCTGAAATTATTCCACTAAATTCATTAACTACACAATTAGTCTATTTATTTTAGTTTACTCCTTCTCTGTAAGCAGTGCACTGGTAAGGACAGAACCCGAGCCACACTATCCTATGTGAGGAGAAATCAGCCGGTCTACATCGGCCAGCCTCAGGAGGTAGGGCAGGCTCTTTCCCGCCCCCCTAAGCAGCAGAAAGGTGGCTGGATAGGGCCCTCCTAGGGCCAGAGGGCGGCCCTGGGCAGTCCTAACTGGGCCCGTATTACTGGGGTATGACAACACGTGATCTCGGGAGAGAACAGGAGGGTCCCACCGATGGCGGCAGCTCATGATTTTAACAGCAACAAAAATGTACTATCTGTAAACAAGCAAGGTTGATCCCGAGAAGACATTAACCTCTTCACTCTGGGTAACTGGTTCACAGAACATTTAGGTAAAGGAAAGAAGGGCCTGTAAAATGCTCAGTGACACACGCAAACAGGCTGAGGACCCCCTACTGGAAGGATGACAGCTGGGGACACTGAAAATATACAGATCTGATCTGGAGCTGCCACACCTGCCTCGAGGCCGCTTTCAAAGCACAGGTGCACCCAGCTCTATCCCTTCCTCGGGGAACAAAGCTGAGTATGGCCTCAGCCGATTAGGGCAGGGAGTGTCTTGCCTAATGACTTTTCTAGGATGCTTCAATTTTACTATTACTATCTTTAAACTGGAGAAAATAAGCTTAATTTTTAAAAACTCTGCATAAAACCCAAAACAATAAAATCAAACATGCCGTTCATACCAATGGCTTTCCGGCTCCTGTCCAGGTGGAAACACACCTGCCCCGTGTGCTTTAACCACACGAGTGGGGCAGCCAAGCGCTGGACTCTAACATTCTCTAGGGCAGCTGCTGAGAGACACACCATATGGACTGCGCTTCCTGAATAACCAACCACTCAGCCCCCGAGTGTGGAGGGGACCTGCTCAGTGGCCAGACGGCTCGGGGCTGCCTTCCTGCGGCGCCTTTTGGCCGGATGTGTGAACACTGGCACGGCTGGCCTCCGGGTGCGAGTCAGGGCTGAGTTCTCGAGCCCACTGGCCACATCGAGTCCGCATACAACCAGAGACGTCTGTGGTTCAAGAGGGACACCTCGCTCAACCCCAATTCCAAGTCCAGCTCCAATGCTCATGTGTGTGTTGGTGCTTCAAAGAACACACACACAGAATCTACCCATGAAGGAGGTCTTGAACAAACGCCCCTGGTCTAAGGCAGAGCCGGGAGAGCGGCAGGCCGTCTTCACGCCCACGTGGACAGGATTTCCACAAAAGCCCAGAGCACGGAAGCAGGGGTCACGAGTTTGTGCCCGGCAAGGAAAGAAAGGGCTCAGAAAAAACCAGTAGGGGGAGGGGGTGGCTGCATCAAGGGTGCCCTCTCTACCCCCAGCATCCCTTCCTGGGGGGGGGGGCGGGGGGGCGGAGCCAGCTCGATTCTAGAGGGTTCTTCGGCAGAGGAAACAGCTCCACAGCAGAGACCGAGCGGGAACACCAAGGCTGTGCGGGAAGACACACCCAGCCACAGAAGGTCCCCGGGCTTCTAGAAGAGTGACCTTTGAAGAACCTCTTCAGAATGAGCACAGGGGCTCTGGGAAGGCCAGGCTGCGGTGGGAACACGGAGAATGTCCCAGGAGTCGGCCGTGACACTGGGGCAGGATTGCACACGCCTGCCAGGCGTCCCTCACGTCAGCAGGAGGGACCACAGTGGCTCTCGGCCCCTTTGAAGTCCAGGACTTGCCATCTACAGGGCCGCTGGAAAGACACCCTCTCCTCCCTGACCTGGGCCAGCGCCATCTGCACCTGTGTCTCAGCTACGGGCCCCGAGGCTGGCAGTGTGACCGGGGTGCACGAGTTGTAGGGGGTGGAAAACAACGTGCACACACTCCTTGGCCATCAGCCACGGACGTTTATCTCTGGGTAGGAACAAACCATCTCGGGGCTGGCCACCCAGCGCCCTGACACAGGTACACAGGGGCCTTCCCGGTACCCCCCACCAGTCGCCAGGAGAGAAGGCAGAAAAGAAGGGGTGTGCTCCAGGGCCCTGGGCGCAAGGACGGACCGCGCTGGAGATGACTGGGCCGGGCCTCTCATTGTAGCGGCTTCCCTGTCCTGCCCATGGCCACACCGTCCCGGCCCACCCTGGGACCAACAACACCGAAAGAGCCACAAACAGAGCCCTTGCCAAGTCTTCCTCTACCAGGACAGAGATTCGGGCTCAGGTCAGCCCGGCAACGCAAGCCCTCCGCAGCTGCGGCCACACGTGGGACCACCCAGACATGGGCCGGGGGCCTGCACAGCCCAGCAAGGTCACCCCCTCCAGCTCCACGCCCCTCCCCTCACCCGGTGCTTTCAGCACAATCCCCCCTCCGGCCAGGCTGCAATCACGTGGGTCATCAGTCCCCAAACCCTCGAGGACTCCCAGCAGTTAAGGGCCCCTCAGTGAGGCACGGCCTCTGGCTGCCCTCATCCCCACGCCCCTCCACTCTCATCTTAGGGCCAGGTGGCTGCTGCCGGGGGTGGGGGTGGGGTTCCCAGATCACAGGTGGCTTTCCTACAAGGAGCATTGTGCCCCGTGCCCTGAAATAGATACAACTTAGGTGCGAGGAGAAGTCGGGAGACGAGGGGGAAGTTTTAGACCTACCTGGGGGGGGCTCGGCAGCACCGCCGGGGGGCTCGAGCGGGTGGGCGCGGGCCGGGAGGGTGGGCAGGGTGGTCGGGGAGGAGCTGCCGGAGCCGGCGCTGGACGCCAGGCTGGACGCCACGCTGGAACCCACGCTGTGGGCGAGTGGGTGAGCCACTGCGGACACTGACAGGTGGTTCTGCACAAAGACACACAGACAAGGTGAGCAGATGCGCGCGGAGAACAGCAACGTGACAGCTCGGTGACGGAGGCCACGGCTGAGGGGGGGGACACGGATGGGACAGTTGGCTAACTTCTTTCCGCTAAGCAAAATATAAAGAAGTTGGACTCTTCCAAACATTCCAGAGGAGCTTTAAATGCCTAGTTGGGGGGCGCCTGGGTGGCTGAGTCGGTTAAGCGGCTGCCTTCAGCTCAGGTCATGATCCCAGGGTCCTGGGATCGAGCCCCGTGTCGGGCTCCCTGCTCAGCAGGGAGCCTGCTTCTCCCTCTCCCTCTGCCTGCCTCTCTGCTTACTTGTGCTCTCTCTTTCTCTGTCAAATAAATAAAATCTTAAAAAATAAATAAATAAATAAATGCCTAGTTGGTTACGATAACCAGGACAGACAGAGTCACTAGCTGCTGCTCACCCAGGGACAGGCACAAATGCATCTAGAAAGGGTCCTATTTAGTGAGCTTTTCTGCAGAAATGGTTTTCAAGAGCAGACACATGGCGGTAAACAAAAAATCCACCAAAAGGCATCAGCAGAGAATCAACACGGCTTCTGAGAACAGAAAAATGATCTCGTTACCTGAGAAAGGTAAAAAGCATGGGGCAACGCCCATGATCTTTATTTGGTAACTAACAGATCAGAACCAGCACGCTCCTGGAGGGCGGCCGGCAGTGTGGACGGCACTCTAATGACCCACAGGACAGGCTGCAAGCCAGGGCTCGGGGCTCCGCGCGCAGTGCCTGAGGCACGCCCCAGTCACCGTGCAGTCAGGGACCAGAAGCCACAGTGGAGGGAAATGTGTGGTGTCTGGTTTTTGCTTCAAAACGAGACAGAAGTTAGCTTTGTGCAGGGGCTACAAGACCATCCGAGGAGGGGAGGGCTTTACTAGTTTGTCGGCTTAAGTGAAATTTTCTACAGTAACAATGGTAATAAAAGAATACATGTTTCATGAGAGGAGAGACATCTCACACATGATAGTTTCTCCAAGTCAGTGTTTCCTCCTGGACTGCTGGCTGTGCTCAAGAGGGGCCCCCGGTGCAGACATCAGCCACGAGCATCAGGGACGCTGCGACAGACCACCACCATTCTACGTGAACCCGAACCGCACAAGTCTGGAGAGCGAGGTCCCCCGGCGCTCCCTGGGCTCAGGCTCAGAGGTGGGCCCCCCGCCTCCACACCGCAGGCCACCTGCTCCATCCCCCAACGCCGTCCCTCCTCCAGGCTGCATGCGTCCCCCAGCTGCGGCAGGAAGGTGGTGCAGGCACCCCACAGTCTGCCCCACACGCTAAGCCAGGCTGGGAGCCCCTGGCCTGAGGCACCTGCTGTGGTTTCATCCACCCAAAAACCCGTAGTGCAGGGAGACGTGTCCCTCTAAGACATCAGGTGACACTTTATCCTAAAACCTGAGAACACCCTCGCTGGCATCTCCCTGAGGCTACAGGGAGGGAGGGCCTGGAGCCGGCGGGTAGAGAGGTGCCCAGAAGCAAGGAAGGGGTCTCCAGAGGGCCACCAGGCTGGCCTCCAGCCATGTGGCCTTTCAAACTGGGGGTCCCAGGGAAATGCTGGGAGCCACTCTGCTGACCTGGGGATCCCCAGGCTGGCTTTGGGACGGGACGGAGGACGTCTCTGGGCGCAGGCAGGCAGGGGACTGAAGATGAGCCTGGCAGATCACTCCTGGCTGCTGGTGTACATGAGGACGCACTGGGCGGTGGCGGGCCAGCGCGACGTCCCCGGGGTGGCCCACACACCAACAAAGCCGCCCCTGGGGTGTCTGGGCCTGACAGGTGCATGAGTCCCCCGTGCACCTGCTATGTTGTTGCCAACATGTCAAGCTTCAGGTTCTTAATGAACATCTTACCATTTTAATCTCTTTGAAACATCACAAAATAACTAAGCTGCATTTTTACTTTCAACTCTCTTTCTGATTTCAAAGCTCCTTAGAGGAGACAAGAACCTACACAACTTGTTCCGGACACTCTGGAGAGTCCTCTGGGGGTGGCCTCAGGTGGGCGCCGGGGAAAGCAGGGCAGAGGGGGACCGGGTGCGTTGCCCGTGTAGAAATTAGGAATAAAGGCCATAGCAGAGACCCGCGGACAGGAGGCAACGTGCTCGCCCAGAGGGGGCACGTTGGCTGTCACACGGCGCCCCCCAGGCCTTCGAGGCACGGGTGGTGACCGGTGCTCTGAGTGCAGAGAGCAGCACTGGCCAGTGCTGGTGGGGGACCGTGTTCTCATGAAAAGGGGAAACTGCAGACAGACCCAGATGCAGGGGAGAGCACCAGGCGAGACAGAGGGGCCAGTCGGACGACTTCCGAACCGTGAGGGCGTCCGGGGCTGTGGCTGAAGCAGCCCCGTGGGCGGGCTCTGTTCGGGCAGCCCCAGGACACATGGAGACGGGCCATGAAGGGCACCCCTTGCTCCCCGCGGGGTTTTGGTTTTGTTGTTTCCAAAGTGCAACACCAGTATTTTTTTAACATTGAAACAAAAGACCGTGGAACAGGCCAGTTTAAGAAGAAAGTGAGTGGAAACATAATGACGCCCCAAACAGACAACGGCCGGATGGCTCTGGGTCAGAGGGAAGGCGTGTGAGCCCCAGCAGCCCGGGCTGCCCCCCTGCTGTACCTGCTTGCCATCCTGCTCGCTGGGCCGGTGGCTGCCCTCAGCAGGGGACTCTCTCCGCTTTGCCTGCAACAGAAGAAGAAAGCAGCAGTAGACTCCAAACACACAGACGCCTACGCTTTGCGAGCGAGTGAGAAGATGCGGAGTCCTGAAGTGTCGGAAAACAGCAAAGGTGTTCAAGTCACTATCCTCCGTCAGGTCTGACTCCGTCTCTCACACCTGCTCACTGACCTCTGACCTCTGGGCCGAGTGAGGGAGGGTGGGAGCTCTGCGCTGTGCCCACCGCCTCCAAGCCTGAAGCAAAGGGTTATTCTGTTGAAAAGTGCTGAACGCAGGGAGGGGGAGGGAGGGTAAGCTTCCTTTGTGAAGGCACGCCCTCCCCTCCCCCATACCTGGGAGCACTCCCTCGCCAGCACTGTGTCCGCGGGGGACAGACCTCACTAAGTAACCCTGACCTGACCTTATTTTCCCTCATTCGTTTACCATCCCAGTTTACCACCCTGGAAACAGAAACCCCTTTTCTTTCAACTTGCCACTTCTGCACGATTTACTGCTCTTTGTTAAAAGGGTATTAAGCTGCCAGGTCCAATTGCTTCTCTATGAAGCCTCACAAACAGGTCTAAGTAATAACCCTTTCCTCCTGTTTATCTTTTGTCAGTTTAATCTGCAAGGGCCCCGGTACTGAACCTAAGAGGGTAGTGGGAAATGTTTTTTTCTCCCCTACACATATACAAATCCTGATTCTGACGAGCCACCTGCCAGGAACACTGTGCCCAATGAAGGCTTTGCTCAGAGCTCAGGACCAGTACTCCCCCGGTCAACATAAACACAAAAACTGCAGACCAAGATATCCTTCAGATCTAAGGAGTATCCTGATTTTTATGACTCATTTTACAGTATGTGAACTCGTAGTGGTGGCTCAAGTCATCCTGGCCTTTCTTCCTTTCTTTTTTGGTTTCTGGATTTGCAAAAGAACCCAGAGTGATCACCAGGGGCAGAGGAGGGGAAGGTGTCCAGGCAAGCACTGACTGGGCCCCTTCCTTCTACAGGACACTTGGCCACGGGCTCAACCCGGAGGTCATCCTGGTATTTCTGGGTCCCTTGCATCTCTCTCATCCAGAAGTGACCTCCCACCCGCAGAGTGGGGTGAGGGCCTCCGAAGTCACTGACCAAAGACCTGAGTATCATATGCTTCCAGGCTAAACGATACTGTGAGAAAAGCAAGGTTATCCTGAAACCATTCTGCTTGCTTTCGGAATACAGGGCTCCCTGCAGGGGACCTCGCCCCTTCGTCCAGGCTCCTCTCCGCTGCGGGGGCCTGGACACTCCACACCGCACTCTGACCCCTGGTGTCAGCTGTCCCGATGCCAGTCCAGTTCCGACACCCTCTGCCTGGGGTCGGCCCCATGACCTGTGCTTGTGACCGACCACTCTGGATCAGGACACCCACAACTCTCCTCGGGCCCAGCCGCCTTCTAGAACAGCTCACAGGGCTTCGGAAAGCACTTACTTACATTACCGATTTATTACGTAACAGACGATGAGGCAAAGAACACAGACAGCCAGAGACAAATCAGGTGAGGTCCAGGAGAGTCCTGAGCTCAGGCAGGTGCCACCTTCCCAGTACAGACAACCTGTACTTTGGGGATTTTCATGGAGGTTCATCCCATTAACTCCATCTCTGGCCCCTTCCTGCCCCCTGGAACATGTGGGGTGGCGCAGGGAGTTCCAAGCTTCTAACCGTGGCTTGGCCTTCCTGGCGCCCGGCCCCCGTCCAGGAGCTATGAGAAACCCACCCAGAGTCACCTCCTCAAAACAAAAGATGTTTTTATCACCCAGGAAATTATAAGGGTTCTAAGAGCTGTGTCAGGAACAACATACATGTTTTCTAGGATTTCACAGCCTGATCCTGTTGAGGAACATCAGCACACGGTGTGTTCTGGGCAGACAGAGCCGGCCCGCCGGCCCACACTCAGGCCCCAAAGCAGGGAGCGTGCTGTGGAGATGCTCCTTCCCTCCCCTGCTCGAAAACAAGGGAGTCCAACCCCAGACAGAGTCCTCAAACCCAGGACCACGTCTACACACAATGAGACCCCAGGTGCTTCTCCCCAGGCGTGCCCAATGCACGGATACGGTCAGTGTGGCAGGAGTGAGTCTGAGGATGCACCAGAGGCTTGTGGTTTTGTGCCGAACCTCCACTTACTCTGTTCATGGTGCAAAGGAAGTAGTGGGGGACGAGTGCTGTGCACAAGTCAAGATCTGGGGTTTGACGTCGATCCTTACAAACGACGAGACTTGGAGTGAGGGGGAGACTGAGCCCTCCCCGCACAGCTCCCCCACGGTGTGATCTCCTGGTCCAGACCTGGTGCCCTGGGGTGGCCGGTGACACTGCCGCCCCCTGCCTGGCCCTCCCAGAGGGGCCGCTGCAGCAGGAGAGCTCAGGGGGGCAGCTGCCGGGCTGGCCGTGCCCCTGAGCCGCCACCAACACGGTCCACGCAGGGCCCCAGAGGTCAGAGCTGGCCCACAAGAGAGCGTTGGCCCCATGGCATTTTATTCTAATGGAGATGAATTCACAGGAGCGTAAGCTTTCCGAAGTGAAGGGCTCTGTGGCACTCAGCACGGTCATGAGGTTGTGTGACCATCAGCTCCACACAGTTCACACGGCCATCCCCCCAGGAGCTCGCCCACAGCCCCGGCCCCCACTCTGCACCCTAGCAGGCCAACTTCTTAAATTGCAAAATAATTAAAAAAAAAACCAACATAAAAGACGCCCTCACCAGACCCCACGTGCAGGCATGGGCACACTGTTCCAGCACCGTCCCCCAAGGGGCCCGGGGCTTCCATCCTGCGTGTTGCCTTCCTGGGTACAACCCCCCGAACCGACTCCATTCAGCCCAGGCCCTCAGGGAGGCCAAGCCAGTGGCCCTCTGACCACCACCCAAGCCCACGACTGCCACGGCCCCTGGGAGCCACCAAGAGGAGAGAGGGAGGGCTTCCTGCCATGCCCAGCGCTGGCTAGGCTACGGGCCGGCTGGTGGTCCGGAACACTCCCCTGCTTGATCCACCAGGGGACACTTGGCTGGGAGTGAAGGGGGGGATCAGCGGCACAGGGACTAGGCCCTGCCAGGGCTGCACAGTAAGGGAAACCTGTGTGCTGTGGGCACGGGGACGCGAGCAGGGATCACGCTGGACACCCCGGTGCTTCGGAGCCAGGACCGCGGGGACACAGCCGGCACATGACCATTCTGGGCTCCGGGCTCAGACACGCATGCACAGGCCACTGTGCGCCGACCCACGTGGAGCGCAACCACGGCCAGGCCACCTCTGGCGCAGGACACAGGGAGGCGCAGAACGGACCGCGACCAGGCGTCTCACCGGCCGGGCTCCTCGCAAGTAAATTCCACCCAGTTTTTCTCACCTTTCCTGTGTTCCTCTTTTTTTAAAAAAAGCACCAAGTGGAAAGGTGGGTGGGGAAATGCCCTGTGCTTCCCATTTCCTCATATGTGGGCACTTTCCCGGCCACCCTAACACTGAGCCGCCTCCGTCCTGCCGCAGGGGTGGCTCTCGCCCTCTTGCAAGCATCCAGCGGGAGCAGACGGAAGGAGCCCACTGCACAGCCAGCGGGATGGGCGGGCGCCAGGTCGGAGCCTCCTCCCACACAGACACGAGGGCCCTGTTGAGAGCGCCCCAAATCTCTCCGTGCCCAAAGCAAACCTGCAGCGCCGGGGGCCGCCCTCCTGGCCGCAATCGAGGGACCAGCCCTGCCAGGACACCGCCCCTCCCGCCACAGCTGTCTACCCAGGAGGAGCCCCACCCGGACTCGGGGCCCCTTCTTGATGCTCAGCCCGACACCACTGTCCTGCGTGGCCGAATCGTGCGTGTCTGGAGAGGCTGGGTCAGCCCGCCCAGGCCAGAAGCCCGCCAGGCTCTCACGGACTTCTAGAAGGAGCCGCCGACCCCACAGGCAGACCACTTCCGTTCGTGTCCCTAGGCGCTCATGCCTCAGGTGCTGTCCACTTACGTGTGCAGGCTGGCCGCTGCTGGCCACGGAGCTGCTGGTGGGGGCGGGAGCCAGGTCTCGGCAGCCCCAGCCATTGGCCATCCCGAGGCTCTCTGTCAAGAAAGGGAGGCAGAGGGCTTTGAATGACCGCGGGCTGGAAACAGCTGTGTGCAGGGTGACCCGGTCCCGGGAGCCCCCACGCAAGGGACGGAGGGAGGCCTGGCGACAACAGTCTTCCCAAGTGACGGGAGTGGGGAGGGGGCGGCAGCAGTGCCGTGACAAAGACAGGAAATTTCAACAAGACTAGCCAACCTCCCCATTAAAATGAAAAGCAGAAGGGGAAGCTGGAGTTTGTGACTGTCGTCACTGAGCCAAAAGCCTGGGCCCCGCAGTGCAGGGCAGCCTCTGACCAGGGCAGGGGGCCGGCCCGACGTGCCCAGAAGGCATGCCAGGGGCTACCAGCCCCCCTCCTGCTGCAGACGAGCAGCAGGCATCGGGCACTCACTGTCCACGTGTGCGAAGGCGCAGAAGGGACCCCGCGGGCAGTAACCGGTTTGGCGCATGTCGTTGCACTTGGTGGATTTGTAGATCTAAGAAACAAAGTAAAACAATAAAATCGATACAGTTTAAAAATGAAACACGGGCACCTGGGTGGCTCGTCAGTGAAGCGTCCGGCTCTGGGTTTCGGCTCAGGTCATGACCTGAGGGTCGGGCTCCCAGCTCGGCAGCTGGGAACGGGTTTCCGCAGGAAGCCAGGAGCTGCTGCGTCACAGCGCAGAGGGCCCTGCTCCAAATCTCAGCGGGGTTTCCTGAGAAGGGGGTGGGCACATGGCCTATGCCTCACACGCCGTGGTCCACGATCCCCTGCCTTCCACAGAGCAGGTCGGACTGTCCTTGAAATCACACGGAGTCAACTGACCACTTGGCGTTTCCTGAAGAGGCACCCAATTCAGGGCTCGGTATACAGCAGGCACTCAAGCAATGCCCCTGACACGAGTACATGCATGAGCTCCATGGCCAGCCCTGACCCACTACAAACTTGGGTCAAAAATACTCTCATGGTGCCAATGACACTTGGTTCTGGCCACCAGCTCACCAGGACCCTCGAGGGACAGACCCCAGGCCCCTCCGCACCCCTGCCAGACCCCAATCGACACCCTCAGGAAGGCTTCCCCGGCCTCCCGCCTCCCTTCCCCCACAAATGCCACTCCCCTGGGCTCTTCGCCCTCCTTCCCTGGGGCTTCAAGGACCCTGGGCCAGGAGCAGCCCTCCGCCAGAACAGGACGAGTCCCGCTCCTGATGGGCCAGCACAGGCCACAGGGCAACCCTCCGCCCAGGCCTATCACCTGGCCTGGGCACTGACAGGTCCCCATTTCCTGCTCTCCAACTTGACTGCTCCACCCCTGCCCCCTGCTCTCCCCACAAGGCCCCCCTCCTGCAAGCAAGCTTGGTTCACAGGGATCGGCACACCCCACCCTCCCTGCCTGTCCTCCTGGCGGGAAGCCTGGCCCTGGTCCTCCACCCCCCACCTGCCCTGGTCCCCACACTGTCCCGCCCCCTGAAGGGGGCTGATTTGCTGGCATTCTGCTTGTTTGTTTTTTAAAAAATTATTTACTTGACAGAGAGAGAGCACAAGCAGGGGACTGGGGCAGAGGGAAAAGCAGACTCCCCACTGAGCAGGGAGCCCGATGTGGGGCTTGATTCCAGGACCCTGGGATCATAACCTGAGCCAAAGGCAGACGCTTAACTGACTGAGCCACCCAGGCGCCCGGTTTTGTTTGTTTTTTAAAGATTTATTTATTTATTTATTTGAGAGACAGAGAGCAAGTACGCAAGCAGGGGAAGAGGTAGAGAGGATCTCAAGCAGACTCCCCGCTAAGTGCGGACCCCCAATTACAGGGTTTGATCTCACAACCCTGAAATCATAAGTTCAGCTGAAATCAAGAGCTGGACACTCAGCTGACCAAGTCACCCAGGCGCCTCTGCTGGTTTAACACAAATCCAAGTGTGCACTGCTTAGCTCAGCTTCAGCTGACCACACCCCGCACGTTCCAAAGAAAGGACTGGCCTTCATCGGCTCCTGGGGGGGTGACCTCTGAGCCCCTGGAACGTCCTGCCTGGGAAGTGTCTCCGTTTACCTGGTTGTGGGCCACACCAGATGGTAACAACGTGATTTATGGTGGCGGCTCTGGGCCATGCAGTGTCAGCTCAGCCTCTGGAGGGCTGGAAACCGAGATCAGCCACATCCACATGACCCCTGATAAAAACCCTAGACACTAAGGGCCAGGGGGTCTTCCCCGGTTGGTGACACATCACTGCCGGAAGAAGTGGGCGCTGTCCACATGACCCACTGGAGGACAGAGCTGGGCGTCGGTGCCTGTCTCCCAGGGACCCTGCCCCACTCAGGACCCCGCCCTCAGCGGATTTCGGCCTGCATCCCGTCAGTAACAACTCTAACTGTGGACACCACAGCACTGCTGAGCTCTGTGGGTCCTTCTAGCAAGTCACAGGACCTGAGGGTGGTCCCCGGGGACCCCAGACACAGGAGTGCCGCGCTCACATAGGCTGCGAGCAGGGCTGTGGCTCCCATGGCAGACGGGCTCCTACCTCGGGGTGGAACTGCTGCTCCGCGCGAGAATGGCAGTACTGACAGCTGTCCCCGCTGTCACACCTTGCGGGCTCGCCCCACTCGTCACCGTGCTTCACGCTGGGACACGGGGTGGACCTGGGGGGACAGGGCGGGGTCACCAGGGACATAAGAGCAGGCGTCCTTCCTGCACACCTGGGGCTGCCCATCCGTCCAGCTGTCACGGGGCTCCCCTCGCATGCAGGATGGTGCGCGTGGCCCCGGACGCATGCCTCTTTCCTTACCAGGACACGCAAAAGCAGGCTGAGTGCCACCTAAACCCAGACAGGGACTCAAGAGGCCTGTTTTTATTGTCCACAAAACATAAAGTGAGGCTGAGTCAGAGCCCCATGCTGACGTGCGGACCATGTCGGGAAAGCAGCCGGGGAGACGGGAGGCCGGGCCCAGCCTCGAGCGCTGCATGCTCCCTCGAATCTGAGATGTTTGATCCCACAGTCTGAAAACCCAACCCAAATCCTCATTCTTCTGGGACTTACTGGCAATGTTATTCTCATTTCTTTGGACTTATGGAAAAAATTGACAGCAGAAAGAAGATTTTACTATTATTTAGCACATTTGCTATCCCTTCAATACACGGTAAATTCGCTTTATCTTCTCCAGCTTACCTCCGGTGAATAACACCTGGAGGCTACAAATGTGCAGCTCCCTGCCCTTCAGCCCCGAAACGACGCGGAGAGAGGACCCTGGCTGTCACGGACCAGCTCGCCATGAGCGCGGGCACTCTCGGGCACACGAGGCAACATAGAATCCATGCAAGAAGGTGGCAGGGCTCAGGCTGGGACGGGCCCCGCGCCCTAGGGGCTCACCTGTACTGGAACCTCCTGGGGTTTCGCCGTCGGTCCCGGCTGTTGTGGTAGTGCGGACACGCGTAGCCCTGGCGACACAGGCGCGGGGGCTTCGGGCACTGCTCCGTCTTGTAGCTGCCCAGCACGAAGTTAGTGTCTGAAAAACAGGGGTCCACGTGGGAACGTGTACACGCGCTCACACGGCCAGGAGGAGAAGCATCCCCAGTATCCGTAGACGGATGAACACAGTGTGTCTGCCCCACGGCCACGCACACCCGCTACAAACCAGATGAACTCGAGAACCTACTGATCAGGGACAGGCCAGACACAGGAGTCTAGCGACCGTGTGATTCCACCACAGCAAAGGTGCGTGCGGCAGATCCGCAGACAGGAAGGACAAGGGTGCGGCGGGGGAGAGGGTGGGGTTGACCGTGGGGGCCAGACAGAGTCTCAAACTAGCTCCCAACAGGGCTGCATGACCCCAAACATACTGAAAACCCCTGAAACGGACACGTTAATCCTGATGTAAATGATGGACGTTGGATGATAAGGGCATGTAGTCCTTGTCGGCTCGCAGGTGGGGACACATGTCCCACAGCGGCGGGGAAGGAGAGCACGTGGAGTCACAGGGTATGTGGAAACCCTCTGTACTTTCCCATCAGTGGAACCTAAAACTGCCCCCAAAATAGGTCTATTTTTTAAATGATTAATTTCATGCTCTTTGAATTTCATCTCAAAGCAAAAACAAGCCAAAAAACCACTGGAGTCATTTAAAAGCAGGAACTAATGAGAGGATATTCCTAAAAATTATACCATTCTTGGGCTGGTTAATAACGGACAGCACTGAGCTCCATGCTGAGGGACAGAGAGCAGCAGTGGGAGGGACAGCCCAGCCCAAGAGCCCGGAACCACGCCACCTGGCCCTTAAGAAATGTCTCCAAGTCCAGCCACACCAAATTCAATTTCAAATACGTCATCAAAAGACAAGAAAGGTAAACCACACAGGAGGGTGTGGAGAGAACAAAAGGGGTTTGAGGAACAAAAAGGCTGACTTTAAGAAAATTATAGAATATTGATTCCCAAGTATTGACCACTTGCCCGGTAGACACAAGGTCCTGCCGAGTGCCACGAAACAGGCAGAAATGAGCTGTTCACAGCAACCAGGAGACACAGGCTCCTCGATGCCTTCAAAGCTGCAAAGTAAACGTGAAGGCCAGGCATCCAGAAAGTCGCCTGCGAGCGTTCAGTCCCAGCTCCTGGGGTGGTGAGGACGTGGTCTGCACACACCCAGGTGTGCAAACGCACACCAGAAGCACACACATCCCATGCTCATAGCAGAAGGCAACCAAAACACAGCCTATGACCCCAAAGTCCTTCAGGAGGCAATGGACACAGAACGGTGGTCCATCCCAACAGTGGGCTAGAAGTGGGGAGAAGACATGCGCTAGCGAGCCAGGATGATGTGGCTCCAGAGGAAAGAAGCCCGTCTGAAAATCTACATCCTGGATGATTCCAACTACATGACATTCTGGAAAAGACAAAGCCATGGAACAGAACGATGGCGTAAAGGGCCAGGGGTCGCCAGGGGCTGGGGCAGTGGTGCCAGCCTGTAGGACCCTGTAGGGCAGACACAGGACTGACTTGTCCAAGCCCATCCCCCACCCCCAGGCCACCAGGAGCCCTGAGGGAAAACTCTGCTCAGTACTTAGTGATAAAGTATCCATCTTGGTTCCTTGACTGTAACAAATGTATCAGGTCAGTGCAGGTGTTTCTAACACGGAAGGGGGGGGAACGTGGGAACTTGGTACTACCTGCAACTTTTCCCTAAATCTAGAGAGGCCCCAAAATAAAATCTACTAATGAAAAAGCCAAACCCCACCTCAGCCCAGCTCTGGGACAGGAAGCCCAGGAAGGAGATGTGCCCGCGACGCAATCCCCTCCCTGGTGGCAGCCGGAGGCTGACCTCACCAAGGAGATGCCGCAGTAAAGGTCAGAGCAGCCTTGGGGACCAGACGTGTGGGTTCAGATCCCACTTGGTGGCCGCTACCTGAGGGACTGGGGGTAATGTACGCAACTGGAGACTCAGTTTCCCCATCTGGTCTCTGAATGAAGGGGGTGAGGTCCACTGTGTGGTCATTTTGCAGACAGAAGACGAATGCCCCCTGCCCCCCTCCGTGGCGGCCTCGGGGTTACCTTGCCACCGGGGGTCCTCACCCAGGATCTTCTCAATCATGGCCTGGCTGGCCAAGACCCCGGGCTGCAGGTCAGGGATGCCATCCGCACCGCAGAGCTGGCCGTTCTGCAACGCTTCCTGGGCCTGGAGCTCCCTACGATCAAACCACACGGTGGTCACTGCTCTGCCGCGTATCTGCCTCAGCCCTTCGGGAAGGGGAGACAATCGTTTGCTTCTGTCACTCTGTGCAGCTACCTAGAAGGTTCCAGACGGGCAGCCCTCGGGCACAACCCTAAATCCAACACCGTCAGAGCCGAGTTGTGTGTTTAGCGAGCATCTGGACGCCTCCCTCGAGCTCAGCCCTGCGAGCTCCCACGGCCACACGCATCAGGAAGGAAACCGTCTCATCAGGAATGAAGTCAAGGCCTGGAGAGAGCGCTGCTGTTGCCGGCAGCGCCCACAGCCCCGGGAGGGGAGCGTGGACACCCCCACGCACCTGATGTCGCACACGGGTGGCCGCAGGTCCAGCGGGCCGTGAGCAAAGGCGCAGTGCAGCCCGTTCTTCACGCAGTGGCCCCGGGCATCCGTCTCGTGGATGCACGTGCCCGTCTTGTAGTAACGCAGGTGGTACTTGCGCTCAGTGTCCCCGGTCGTCCGGTGCAGGTACGGACACCTGGGAAGCAGAGGGGCCAACACAGGCCATCTGAGGCCTTGGGGCTGGGGGCACCCTCAGCATCGACCTGCCCCACCCCACAAACACCTGCTCTCACCATGGGACTGCCACCCCTGGCAGAGCACCTATCCCCAGGGCACTCAGACCCCCCACAAATCCCTCAATACATGTGGTAGAAAATACAATACCAGATTTCCCTGAAAATCACCCTGCATCATGTTGTGAATATGGACAAATGAGGCTCCCCCCTTCGATACAGCTGTGTCCTCACTGTTCCTGACAAGCGTTATCAGATGAGGGGTTGGTGGTCACTCCCATCCCACCCAGGGACTTCTGGGGACCCCTCGAGGGAAGGAGGGGCCTGGACCTGGCTAGAGGGGGACGGCGGTGGGACAAGAGAGAAGCAGATGCAGGGGGATGGGCAGGATCACGTGCAGGTGCCAAGCCACTCACTCCTGGGGGAGTCCACACGGCTCCCCAGGCAGCGAAGGGCAGCGAAGGATTCACCCTGCAGGGGGGTGGCCAGCACACGTGGAGACGGTCCCCGAGCCCACCTCGAGGTCGATCAGTCCCTCTAGACAAGAGCCACAGAGAAGAGCGAGGAAAAGGAGTCTGAGCCAGCCGTGTCCCTGAGCCACCCAAGGAGGTGGGAGCCTGTCACTGAGCCACCCAAGGAGTGAGGTGGGAGCCTGTCACTGCCTGTCCCCTCCAGCAATGGCCGGGGAGCACCACGTGAGGCTCGGGTAATGCCCAGCCCCACCTCACTGCCCTATGAGGTTCCCCACACGGAGCACGGATGAGACCCAGAGAGAACAACTCGGAGGCCGCTCACTCTCAACTGCTATCTCCCACGATAAGGACATGCAGGCTCAGCCTTGGCAGAGAGCACCCCAGACCTTTTGGGGCACCTGGGGTGTGCACAGCACAAGGAGACAGACAGGACGCCATGCCCACGAGGCTGGGCCCTTTGGAACCAACCAAGCAACCACCGAAGGAGAAGCCAATGGGCGGGCCGGGCAGTTCTGCTCCTGAGGTGCACCCAGAAACGCCGGAAGCACAGGATCCACGACAGCCTCGGCCTCAAACAACCCTGATGCCCATCAACTAATGAGCGGGGAAGCAAAGGGGGGCCCATCCAGACAACAGGACGTTACTCAGCCTTAGAAAGGAAGAACATTCTGACGCGTTTTACAACACGTACACCTCGAGGACATTCTGCTCAGTGACAGAAGCCGGACACGAAAGGATGAAGGCTCCAGGCAGTCCTAAGAAGTCAAAGAGCAACGGGGGATCGCATGGGCACGAGCAGCTTGGGGACCCCCGAGGACTGAGTGCACAATGGGCACATCTCCCATGTGCAAAGCTGGAAAGAATCTGGAAGCAGACAGTGGGGATGGGTGCACAATACGGTGAAAGTCGTCACCGCCACTACCCTGCACTAAGAAACACGGTTAAAATGGCACATTTCACGTCATACATGTGTAACCCTAATCATCGACAAAGCCCACTGGGACCAGAGAAGAGGAAGAGGAGAGAGATTTGATCTATTCCTACAGAAAAGTGCGCTCGTGCAGCGTTTTCACACCTCGACACCGCCACGTCCCTGCGCTGGTCTGTGACTCAGTTTTGGGCAGCCAGGTGGCGGAGGCTGTCACGGAGAGCTCAGCCACGCCGGACATCCTGGGGGAGAACACGGGCCCCGCCCCTGCTTTTCACATGACCGAACACCATTCACAAAGGGCACCAACAGTGCTCCCTGGAGGTGCCCGCCTGACCTCCCATCCCGATGTCTCAATGTCACGTCTCAGCCCTCGCTCGCTTCCTAGCGGCCCCTCGGGGGAGTGCTAAGCACCCTCTGGTTTCCTCTCTGGTGCTGTTGCCAAGGCAACCAGAGCCCAGCCCAGTCCCCCTGCCCGGCCCTGAGCACTGAGCATGGAGCACCGAGCACGACCACTGAGCACCGAGCATGACCACCAAGCACCGACAACGGAGCACCGGCCACGGAGCACTGACCGAGTACCGAACACAACCACTGAGCATGGAGCACTTAGCACCAAGCACGACCATCGAGCACCGACCACGGAGCACCAACCACGAGGAACGAGTACCAAGCACAACCACTGAGCACAGAGCACCGAGCACCAAGCACCGAGCAGGCACTATTATTTTACTCTGGCCATGACCTCAAGACACTGAAGGGCTCTTAATGAAGGAAAACGGCTCCACCTTTGGAAGGTCTGAGAGGGGAGGGGAGGCCTCAGACAGAACACAGCGGGAAAGCCAGAACTCTCCCTGGGGCAGGAAAGAGCCAGGGTTCAGCCCAACACCGCATGCAGATTCTTCCTCGCAGGAGCCCGCCGCACCCACGATGTACCCAGGTGTGACTAGGCTCTGCCGAGCACCAAATTCAGGTGAGCCCCTTGCTTCTCAAGCCATCTGCCACGATTAGTGACCAAACAATGCAATTCAACCAGGGTTCCATCACGGGCATGATGCAGCATCACGCTAGAACCTGGGAGCCAGGAAGGGGGGAGCAGGAGGAACAGACCGGGGGCTCAAGACTGCCCCTACCTCTCCAAGAGAGCCTGAAATTAACCCCTCCCTCTGGCAGCCCTCACCAAGATGGATCTGCAAAGGGGACAGAGGTGGCCCACCAAGCCCATCCCCACTGTGCACCAGCACCGGCCAGGAGCACACTAGGGTGTGCGTCAGAAGCCCCGGAAGGGCTGGCCAGTCCCAGAGGTGATGCTGCCGTGCAGGTGGGAGCCTCAGATCCCACCTGCAGGACAACCCCAGGTGACGTCGATGCTGCTGGTCTTTAGGGGACGCTCGAGTGCAACCTGACTCCTTGCCCACACCCAGGGGGCTCAGACATGGGGGGGGAGACCTGAACATAGCACACAAATAACTGAGGCGCAAAATGAACAAGCCGAGTAACTGGATGCAGCCACGGAACACGGGTGACAACAAACATGAACAAAAGGAGGACCCGTGGGCCGCAGACAAGTGGGGGCAGGGAGGTGGGG